CAGAATTGAATTGTTTGCTGCCTCCAACAAAATTCTTATTTTTGTTTCTCTTGCAGGGATACCAGAGGCCCAGCCATTACATCGCAACTCAAGGTAAATGAGGACGGCTGAATTAATCGTCTTTTCTTTGTTGCCAAGAACAAAAACTGACTGATGTTTAAATATAATGAACTAAATATTGTGTACTATAACAAATAATCAGTAAGTGGATTGTCGTCATATGTGGAAACTGCATTCTTTTTTATCTGATACACATCTTAAAAAGTGTGCATGCTCATAAATTCAAAATTATTCACTGAAACATGCATCGGAAACATTTGTGTAGCGACAAGTACAAAAAAATAGCATCTACGTGAAATAGTTTTAAGTCAAAAATATTATTCAATATTGCTGCATCAACCTCAGTGTATTAATTTATACCAAAACTACTTTATATGGGTTAAATCATGTAGAATAAAGCAATAAGCCCCGTGAAGCCGTGGTTTACAGTGAATTTATAACAGCTAAGGGGCGTTGTTAGGCACGAAGCGAGTTATAAATTCACTGTAAACCACGGCTTCACGGGGCTTACTGCTTTTATAAAACGGTTATTCCATATACGTAGTAAGGTTTCACAGAATAAAACAGAGCAAATAAAGTGTAATGATATTAATATAAACAGTATTCTTCCACCAAACAATGTAGTTCCTCAGAAACAGTTGTGGTTCCAACAAAGTGGTTGCCGAGCAGAAGTAAACAAAGGTGTGTGTTTGTAGAGTAATTTACAACAGCTTCAAACGTGGCTCAGCCAATCAGAATCAAGGACCAGAACTCTCCGCTTTATAAATATCTCTTTAAAGTTACAACTTGCAAACAATACTCATTTTATATACCACTAATACATTCTACTTTATTTATATCACAAAAGATGCCGTGCAAAATCTGTCAAATGATGCCAATTTTTTTTTCTCTCCCAAATGTCCAAATGTAAATGACTGAAATTAAAAATTTGACGGATATCAAATAAAAACAGAGATTTCGAGAAATAAAGCAGAGCGTTTGGCTTTCCCACAGGCCCTGTCCACGAGACGGTGTACGACTTCTGGAGGATGATCTGGCAGGAGCAGTCGGCTTGTATCGTGATGGTAACCAACCTAGTGGAGGTGGGCCGGGTATGTCGCTATACTGCCTGCGGAGGGGCCGTTGTGTGTTTTTGTGCTCTGTGATGTGACCTGTGAAGGCCCCTGCCTGCAAAAACCTTTTGAAGAGTGAGCGAGGACTAGTTATTCATCTGCTCGAAGTCACAAAAATGGGTGAATCTCACAGAGCCTGTCAGGAACGGGTCATATTTCACCCCAAAATCAAAAGATAGAAATAAAAAGCTTTTTTAACGCTTCTCAAAAGGTTGAAGCATGTCTGTGTATGTATTTTGTACATTTGTGCACGTTGTGGACGCTTTGTTTAATTCTATCATTATGCACAAGTGAGTGAACTGATTTCACAGCAGTCTTTATATCATAATGATCACACAGTACTAGAGGTGATCACTCACATCTTAAGGCATTTAAGCAAGACTTCAGCTTGAAGATTGTAGCATGCCATGAATTAAATCAGACTGCTGTGAATCAAGCTTTGCATCAGTCAGTATAGTTACTGTATTCAAGACATGTGTTTGCATTGGAGTGCATGTGATTTGCTCTGTATTTTATGTTTGATGGGTCTCATCCTCCTGTAGGTGAAATGCTATAAATACTGGCCAGATGATGCTGAAGTTTATGGAGATTTCAAAGTGACGTTTGTGGAGGTCGAGCCGCTCGCGGAATACGTTGTCAGGACTTTCACTCTGGAGAGGGTGAGATTATTTTGACCGTGTTTAAAGTTTATTGTTAAAACCTTTTGTCTAGCATGGCAAGTGTGGCTAATATTCTGTAAGCCTGAAGGAAATACATTTAATGCACAGAGGCCGCACAAAGTATTTGGACACTTTTGAGCACTTAGGTCACAGTTATAAATATGTGAGAGTCTGTATCTGCATGTGTCAAATGCAGCAGGATCTTCTTTTTTTTTCACTAAAATCACTTTTATTCATACATATACAGTACTTTAAAACCACAAACATGCATGAAGTTACACAACACTGACTGTCTTCATGTTCAACACTGCATCTGTCGTTGCAGTACTTCAGGTACCCCTTTTTTACTAATGTATAGCTTGTAAAATGCACTGGTGCATCTTTCTCTGCACTTGCTGTGATATTTTGTCATTAGTGTGACTTGAAATATCCAGAAGCTTTTTGGGGCCAATGTATTTGCAGGGAAAGTGATTTTCGGTCTATCATTTTTCCAGGTGCTCAGGTGTTTTGTGGATGCTTGTTCTTATTTCCGCAGAGGGGTTTTAATGAGGTGCGAGAGGTAAAGCAGTTTCACTTCACTGGCTGGCCCGATCATGGAGTCCCGTATCACGCTACAGGACTGTTGTCATTCATCCGACGAGTCAAGATGTCCAACCCTCCCAGCGCTGGGCCTATCGTCGTCCACTGCAGGTACTGCAATGCATCAACACATCCTCGGCTCCTTCACACACGGTACAGCCTGGAGATGCAGAGCTCATGTAAGCATGCCAGCTGTATTAAGATCATTTGCAGTACACTTTGGTGGAGTGTGAATAGTAGCAAAATGAATAAAACACGGAAAGCCATAGCATTTGTGAATGACAGAAAATCAATTCTGTAACAATTTTTACGTGTAAAAGTGGCTACTGAAAAATACTGCTAATGAAACGTCATAACTGCTTTGTACTGGCTTGAAGACAAGAAGGTGATTTCAGAATTCCTAATGTTTTAAATAGTTCAAAATGTAACTATTTGAAATGTACTCCTCCCCTCAGTCCATCCAAGATGTAGATGAGTTTGTTTCTTCATCAGATTTGGAGAAATGTAGCACTGCATCACTTGCTCACCAATGGATGCTCTGCAGTGAATGGGTGCCGTCAGAATGAGAGTCCTGATAAAAACATCACAATGATCTTGACAAGTGAAAAGCTACATGTTTGTAAGAAACAAATCCATCGAGGTGTTTTTAATGGCAAACAGTGGCTTCCAGCTAAAATACAAGTCCATAATCCATAATATTGCTTTCTCCAGTGAAAATGTCATCTTGTCTGAATCAGGTGTGAAATATGCACAGACCAAGCAACAAAAGTTAACATTTAAAACATCTTAATGCTGGATTTGTTTCAGCGTTTGTCTTCTCCAGATGTGAACTGATGGACTGGAGTGCTGTGGATTACTTGTGATGTTTTAATCAACTCTCATTCTGACGGCACCCATTCACTGCAGAGCATCCATTGCTGAGACACTGATGCAGTGACACATTTCTCCAAATCTATATTTCTACAAACTCATCAGCTCATCTCAGATGGCCTGAGGGGGAGCATATTTTCAGCAAATTTTCCTTTTTGCATGAACTATTCTTTTAATGAACAGTACAGCATCTGAAGAAAGATCCACAGCTTGACATTTTCTATCCTTTTCTTAAACAATGCGTAGTCGAATCTGGAGGCCCGTCTCTGTTGAGACTGCTTCTGTTGTTGTAGATGAGAATGCATTGTCATTGGTTCATGACATCACTTCCTGTTCTTAGGGTCTTACCACAGCTCTTCTTCATATGTGGATGGTCTTGTGGTTGGTTCTTTATTTTGTCATGCTCACACTTCAGTGTACCAGCATCCACATCTGACACTGTTGGCCAGTCACAGCAGCTCTTATGACTCTTTGTACTCTTGGTTCTCAGCTCATTTAACACATCTGGCAGAAACTATTTTACCCTTAAACATTACCACGTTGCCTGCCGTTCATGCCCCAAGAACAGGATGTGGTCTCATCTGCATTGCTGCATGCAAAAAAAAAGAAACAAAAAAGAAAACAATCCCATGATGCAGCTTTCTTTTCCTTCAACTGGTTGACAGTCTTTGATTGCTACTCTCTTTGTTTCTCATTGCATTATTCTGACGTTCAGTCAAACAGAAAACGTTTTGATTGACAGTGATAACCATGGCAACAGAAAAATATAAAAATGCCAAAATGTAAAATTTGTAAATCTTAAATGCAAAGTAATAGATCTGCTACAGCAATATTAACAAGAAAAAGAAAACAAATCAGTGATGGATAACTAATAATAATAACAAACTTTGTTCTATTGCATGGGATGTACAGTATTTCTTTGTTCTTTATTTTAATATTTTAATGCTTTAATTCACATGACTTTAAAGCAATGTGCACTTATTCGGAAGATATTGGTTGCTGTATTATTTACTTATTATTAGCATTAAAAAATTGTTTAATGATTTAATATTTTTATTTTCAAACAGTTAAATAAAATAGTTTAATAGTTACAATAGTTTTTTATGGTATCAGAATCGGTGCTGAGAATTGGGAAATTTTACTGGTATTACTAGAAATAGCACTACTAGAAACTAAATAACCAAATAAACTTTTTCAATTATTCCATGAAATATGTCGTACACATCTTTCATATTTTAAAATACAGATACAAAGACATTAAGCAAAGAAACCTAATTTAACTGTCTAGATTTTAATACAATGTATTTCACATTTATGTGTATGTACACATTATTGTATTAAAAAAAAAAAATGATGCCTTGGAAATTTCATACAAAGGAGAGAACCACTGCTTTAGACAGTTTGCATGAATTAACAACAACTTCATTTTCTTTCCAGCGGTTTTTTGAGCATCCTGACACAAGTGCTTTGTTCTTAATCAAAAACTGTCTTTAGAGCCTAGTTTTTGTAGATAATGAAGCTTCACAAACAGCTGTGATAGCATTTATAAAACAGTGAGCCACAGCTCACAGCACTACTCTCGTCTCTCTGCTGCTTATATACACTTGGAATGGTTTGATCAGTGATGAAATCGCTATGAGACGGATGATGATTTCTTCCCTGCTCTGTCCGTGTCAGTGCGGGAGCCGGTCGGACAGGGTGTTACATCGTGATTGACATCATGCTGGACATGGCAGAGAGAGAAGGGGTGGTGGACATCTACAACTGCGTCAAAGCTCTGCGCTCCAGACGAATCAACATGGTTCAGACTGAGGTGCGTTTGCATGCTTCAATCATGAGACTGAGTACGGTCCTCTAAGATTTTCTCCCCACTAAATATATTTTTAGGAAGCCACTGGTTATCAGATTCCTAATGTTAGTTCTTATTTTGTTTTCGCTTTCAAGTTTACACAATTGTGACCGTGGACCACAAAACCAGTCATTGGAAATTTCATAGAAAAGACAGAACCACTGCTTTAGACAGTTTGCATGAATTAACAACAACTTCATTTTCTTTCCAGCGGTTTTTTGAGCATCCTGACACAAGTGCTTTGTTCTTAATCAAAAACTGTCTTTAGAGCCTAGTTTTTGTAGATAATGAAGCTTCACAAACAGCTGTGATAGCATTTATAAAACAGTGAGCCACAGCTCACAGCACTACTCTCGTCTCTCTGCTGCTTATATACACTTGGAATGGTTTGATCAGTGATGAAATCGCTATGAGACGGATGATGATTTCTTCCCTGCTCTGTCCGTGTCAGTGCGGGAGCCGGTCGGACAGGGTGTTACATCGTGATTGACATCATGCTGGACATGGCAGAGAGAGAAGGGGTGGTGGACATCTACAACTGCGTCAAAGCTCTGCGCTCCAGACGAATCAACATGGTTCAGACTGAGGTGCGTTTGCATGCTTCAATCATGAGACTGAGTACGGTCCTCTAAGATTTTCTCCCCACTAAATATATTTTTAGGAAGCCACTGGTTATCAAATTCCTAATGTTAGTTCTTATTTTGTTTTCGCTTTCAAGTTTACACAATTGTGACCCTGGACCACAAAACCAGTCATAAGGGTCAATTTTTCAAAATTGAGATTTATACATCATCTGAAAGCTGAATAAATAAGCTTTCCACTGATGTATGGTTTGTTAGGATCGGACAATATTTGGCCGAGATACAACTATTTAAAAATCTGGAATCTGAGGGTGCACAAAAATCTAAATATTGAGAAAATCATCTTTAAAGTTGTGCAAATGAAGTTCTTAGCAATGCATATTACTAATCAAAAATTAAGTTTTGATATATTTACGGTAGGACATTTACAAAATATCTTCATGGAACATGATCTTTACTTAATATCCTAATGATTTTTGGCATAAAAGAAAAATTTATAATTTTGACCCATACAATGTGTTTTTGGCTATTGCTACAAATATACCCCAGCGACTTAAGACTGCTTTTGTGCTCCAGAGTCACAATTTAATTTAATTAAGCATGCAAAAGCATATGCTTTTGCCATTACTGCCAGTACCTAAAAAGTGCATGTTCAGAGGCCTGCAGTGCAGCTGCATTGACCTCTATAAAACATCTACTGTAGAAGAAGGAAGCCTCAGTCCTGACCACTAAGGGCCACTGTTGCATTTCTGCACTATTTACAGCAGCAACAACCACAAAGTAGTCAGCCATGCTGTAGTATCTGTCTTGTTGCTATGAGGCATGTCAGAGTGAATGAATTCAGAGTTCCTTTCAAAAAAAAAAAAAGGGTATTATTTAAAACAAGTGTTGCAGTTTTACTACACACTAGTGCTAGTGTTACATGTTAAGCAAACTAATAGTGTTGTCAGAAATGAAAGCGCATGCACTGACGACACACAACCCCTGGTTTTCCCCTGGCTCTCAGGAGCAGTACATTTTCATCCATGATGCCATCCTGGAGGCGTGTTTGTGTGGCGAGACTGCGATTCCCGTGTGCGAGTTCAAAGCCGCGTACTACGACATGATCCGCATCGACTCTCAGAGCAATTCCTCTCACCTCAAAGACGAGTTCCAGGTACCTGACAAATGCTGCTACTTATTATTCACGCCTGTGCTTTTCCTTCAGGACCCAGACTTTGCATGGACATCAAGTGGAGACCCAACACAAAAATCCAAACTTTGTTCAACAAATGAAACAAATACGTCCTTACACTCAAACACTATTTTATTCATTTTTAAATATGCAGCATCATTTATGGTTCTGTGTTCTTGGTAGGTAATAATTCACAGCACAGAACACTGTATTTAAAGCATTCTTGCAGAGTTTTATTCGTGGTTTTTTGAAGATGCACGCATGTCACGCAACCTGTTTGTGTTGGCATCTGGTTCATTTGACTAGTTTCTACCAAAAGGCATACGATGCACGGCCTTTGACATGAACAACAAAAGCAGCAGAATAACCCTCACGCACTGTTGTCCACTCTCTCCTGTGCAGACGCTGAACTCAGTGACTCCTCAGCCTCAGCCTGAAGACTGCAGCATTGCACTCCTTCCTCGAAATCACGACAAGAATCGTTTCATGGACAACCTCCCGCCCGACCGCTGCCTGCCCTTCCTCATCACCATCGACGGAGAGAGCAGCAACTACATCAATGCAGCGCTCATGGATGTAAGTATGGCTTCCTCGCTCTCGCTCTCTTTTCCTCGTCTCCTTTATGTTAGACACACGCTCTGTTCCAAAACCTAGTGAGCTGCCAATGGAGGTAAGATTTGAGGGCAGCCAAAAGGTAGGCAACTTAACTCTGCTGCCTTCTGAGATACCTTGTTTTAGTCAGTCTTTTAGCATTACCATATGATACATATTGATAACAACAGTTTAGTATGATAAAAATGTAAGTCTTTATGCTGTGGATTCTTAATGAAACATGCTAACATCAAACTCTACTGAGTCAGTCCCTCACTTGTGTGTAGTGTAGCTAGTAGACAGCAAGAGCTCTCATTGGATTTTGGAACGGAGCTACAGAAAGCTAGAGACAAATCCAGGTGGCAAGTCCTTTCAGTGGGACAGATGTTAGCGTGAGCCACTTTCAACCCTATTCCAGTCGCTCTGTAACGTGGTGACAGTGTCGTGTAGATCAGCGATAAGATTATTCGTCTTGAATTAGTAAAGCATTCAATTCGCCTCTTTTTAGTAGTGTAATGAATTCATTCTTCTTGATGGCTGTATGTGGTCCTAAATTGAACTTTCTTTCATTTGGGTTTTCAAAAATAATTCCAAAGTCCAAACTGTTTTAGTAACATTGTCGGAAAGGGCGAGGTAAGTGTAAGTGTGAATCTCTTGCTTTAAAGTGTTAATTTTGTTATTTATTAAAGGGGTCATATGATGCTGCTAAAAAGAACAGCAAATTCTTTAAATATAAAAACGTACTTACAGTCTGTGAGTCAGCATTATTTGTCAGAACAGATGGCATTGTAGGCTACTCTCCCAAGAAACACTCCTCGTCCTCCGTAAAATGTGTTGCTCACATCTGAATATTTGGTTTGAACTGTTCTGGAACAGTGTTGTAAATACAACTTAACTTGAAATTGCATCATATGACCCCTTTAAAGGACAAGTTCACCCAAATCCTGAACGTTCTGCCATAATTTCTTACCCTCAAGTCTGGAGGGTTTTTTCCCCCTTCTTTCTGTGGTAAACAACTGGAGATTTTTAACACTGTATTTATTTCCATACAACAAAAGTGAGTGGTGACCAGTTACTGTCAAGCTACAAAAAGAGGGCAAGAAACCACCATAAAAGTAGTCCATACTACACACTTATGCACTTTTTATTAACTGAACAGAAGCACAAATTTGTGATCCGAACCTGTCCCTCGTTCAACGCTGCCGTATGACATCAGAAGTCTTTCAGCTTGAGTCGTATGAACTACTCTTAGTGTGTTTTGAGCATCACAGCCCTTGGTCACTGCAGGATTTCATTATATGTGACCCTGGAGCACAAAACTAATGATTTTTGGCATAAAAGAAAAATCTATAATTTTGACCCATACAATGTATTGTTGGCTATTGCTACAAATATACCCCAGCGACTTAAGACTGCTTTTGTGATCCAGGGTCACATTTGGAAAGTAGCTGCCTAAAGATTCCTCCAAAACTCTCCTTTTGACTTCCACAGAAGAAAGAAATGACACGAGGGCGAGTGAATTTTGCATTTGTTTAGTGTCTAGACTGATCTGTGAGTGACAGTGCATCCTTCTCCTAGTGCTTCATTTGTCATGGCTGTCTGTGTAAGTACTGTAATGAATTCGCTATCTAGTGTAGAGCACTGTTTTGCTATGTGCACAATCGTCTGTGTATCTGAGAGCGTGTTCAGTCAGTGACATCCCACAGCCGATGACCTCTGACCCTGGGAGACGGTGATCGCACAGCCACAATCAGCTACTTTGACAGCTGAACTCAAAAAGTTGTGATTTTAGAGGGTAATTTTAAATCGCTTCCTCGTACGCTTCACAAACTCTTGGACTTTTTTTAACCAAGCCGTCAGAAGAATACCAGGTAATTTCTGATTCAGTTCTGCCTCTGTTAGACTGGATTTGTTTCGTGGCTTTAGTGGTATGTCAGCACTTTCCATTCAACCTCTCTATACTGGGTTTGCTACAGCATGCAGAGAAAAACGAATGCATTTAATCACTTACAGAGATGTACATGTATCACACTGACACATCAGCAAAGACACACACGCAGGAAACGACACACGTTTATATCATATATCATTCATGTCGAATGCTCACTGTGGTCCGTGCATGATCATACACATTCACACATCGGCCATCCTGAAAAACGCCCCATCTTCGTCTTGGTTGTGCGTAAGTGTCAGAAAGCAGAGTGTTTGCAGGAAGTACATTATGTTCCATGTTATGCAGAGCTACAGGCAGCCGGCCGCGTTCATCGTGACCCAGCATCCGTTACCCAACACCGTCAAGGACTTCTGGAGGCTGGTGTATGATTATGGATGCACCTCCATCGTCATGCTAAACGAGATCGATTTGGCTCAGGTGAGATTGTGTTGTAATTATTCTTATGAAATGTTTGTGCAACGTATATTGAAGGAATGAGAAGACATCGAAGATCAGCTGGTTAGCGAGTGAAGTCAGTGGAAAACAATCTGTTTATGTTGAGCCAAACTGAATGTTTCTTTGGCATGTTTAAAGGAAGAGTTCACCCAAAAATGAACATTTGCAAGAGATGTGCTCACCCTCAGGCCATCCGAGATGTAGATGAGTTTGTTTCTTCATCAGATTTGGAGAAATGTAGCATTGCATCACTGTCGGACCAATGGATGTGGATGGGTGCCGTTAGAATGAGAGTCCAAACAGCTGATAAAAACATCACAATAATCCACACCACCCCAGTCCAATCCACATCTTGAGAAGACAAAAGAAACAAGTTAAGACAGTTTAACTTTAAGCTGTTGCTTGATCTATGCATATTTCTCGCCTTATTCAGATGAGGTGGTTTTTCACTGGGGGAATTTATTATGGCTTATGAACTTGGTTTAAAGTTAAAACATCTAAATGATGGATTCGCACAGCTTTTGTCTTCTCAAGACGTTAACTGATGGACTGGGGTGGTGTGGATTATTGTGATGTTTTTATCAGCTGTTTGGACTCTCATTCTAACGGCACCCATCCACATCCATTGGTGAGACAGTGATGCAATGCTACATTTCTCCAAATCTGATGAAGAAACAAACTCATCTACATCTGGGATGGCCTGAGGGTGAGCACATTTTCGACAAATCTTCACTTTTGGGTGAACTATTCCCTTAATGCAACAGCAGGTTATCTGTCAGTGGCTCCTGTGTGTGTTTGATCCGTGTGTAATCGGTGTGTTCAGGGCTGTCCTCAGTACTGGCCGGAGGAGGGAATGCTAAGATACGGCCCAGTACAGGTGGACTGCATATCCTGCTCTATGGACTGTGATGTCATTAGTCGTCTTTTCAGGATATGCAACCTGACCAGGGTGAGTTTTTCCGCATGTCTCTGAAAGCCATTGATCATTTCACAGCAAAGTGCAGAGCCGTACACTGGTCTTGGGCAGAAGTGCATAGTTACATCGATGTGTGTGTGTGTGTGTGTCCTAAGCCTCAGGAAGGTTACCTGATGGTCCGTCAGTTCCAGTACCTGGGATGGGCGGGTCATAGGGAAGTTCCCGCCTCCAAGCGCTCGTTCCTCAAGCTGATCCTCCAGGTGGATAAATGGCAGGAGGAATGTGAGGAAGGCGATGGACGCACTATTATACACTGCCTGTGAGTACAGATGGACAGAGACCAAAAGCAGCTGTTTGTGTATTAATCAGTAGCCACAGTTTTACTTGTGGACGGACAGGAAGTCAGACCACAGTCTACTCATCTAATCTCTCGTCAGTATTTGCTGGCATCAGGTTTACCCACACCTACACATCACATTAAAAGCAGACTAAGTTCATTTTCTACACTTTATTCATGAAGCATAAATAAAATTATGTATGCTTTATGCTTAAATTATTTATGCTGCATAAATAAAATTGACACATAAAATAATGTTATGGCTTAAATTCTGTTTAAAGGGATAGTTCACCAAATATGAAAATTCTGTCATCATCTACTCACCCTAAGTTGTTCCAAAGCTGTATGAATTTATTTCTTCTGTTGACCACAAAACAAGTTATTTTGAAGTTGCTGGGTTATTTTACCTTTGTGGGTGAACTATGCATTTAATGCTTCATTAACTGTTGTACAGCATACCTTTAAAATAACAATTATTACAAAAATGACATGAAAATGTATTATAGTTTAAATTTATACTAAATACAGTTAGCTAAAATTTAGAGTGCCTTTTTTCTAAACTCGAGGAGTTTTATGTTTGTGCATATTTATGTGTAATTTCTTTTAAATATAGTACTTGCTGAATGTAACGACAAGCATTTATGATAAACTAAAATATACTTTAATTATATTTTACGAAGTTGTTTTTAAGAATTTCTATTGAAACTTGTTTGTCATTTGTATTTGCAATTACACGTTTTGTAGATTTGCAATTCATTGCATTTAAGATTCAAAGATGTATATTTTTTAATATATTAACTCTAAATGTAATATCAAATAACATTAGTTAAAATTCTAATCAAGTACTTTACATGTGCTTTAGTATGTTAGTCAACACATCCAAATAAATACATGCTTTAATAAAGAATATTAAAGCATGATTTATAATGTACTTTAAAGTAAAGCTTTTAATTTGACTTTATTACCAAGTGCATTTTTTAAATGTGTTAAGAAACTGTGTCTCTCTTTAAATACACTTAAGTGGCCTTTTTATTTGATTCTATAATGTTATCTGCAAGTGCAGTTTGTATGTACTTTTAAGATTTGAAGTACACCACAAATGCACATCCGATAAAATTAAGCTCACTTCTTTTTTTCACAAAGGAAACCCCAGCGAGCAAACCTGTAAGGTGTTAGTAGTGGGGGGGGAAAAGCCAAGTGATCAAAAGTCTGGCATTTCTCACTGATCTTGAGCAGGGTTTCTCCATCAGAACTGACCCTTCACTACAGCATGTGTGTAATGTAATGTTCGTCTGGATACAGAGCGTTTGCACACACACCGTTACAGTGGAGAAGTGTGACACACACACACACACACACACACAACTCATTCACATGTGTGTCTCTTCATGTCTCTCTGTCTCTGTAGGAACGGAGGCGGCCGCAGTGGGATGTTCTGTGCCATCAGTATTGTGTGTGAAATGATAAAGCGGCAGAATGTTGTAGACGTCTTTCATGCTGTGAAGAGTCTGAGGAACAGCAAGCCCAATATGGTGGACAGCCCGGTATGAACCAACATCTACACTCATTATGCGCTTGTCAGCAGTGTCATCAGCCAGAGCAAAACACCTCAGTTTTAGGTCTTGTAGTCACATGGTGCAAAATTACAACTAACTTTAAACCAAACCCTGCAGCAGCAACACAACTGAATATCACTCAGTACTTATCTGAGTGTCCAGCTCTCTCTCTGTGTGTGTGTGTGTGTGTGTGTGTGTGTGTGTGTGTGTGTGTGTGTGTGTGTCTGAGCAGCACACACTCGGCTTATTTTACATGTGACACGGGGATTGAGTGCCGTGGAAATGTCTCCATTCGTGCATATGTGTTGACTTTCATGAGATTCAAGTGCCGGCCATGTTTTTTTAATATGAACTTTTCTTTTTTTTTTTATGATTTCGTGCAGCCATTTGAAACACTAAGCCCGAGCTGTTGCATGCTGAAGACGCTCTTTATTTCTCTGTGTCTATCACTGTTCCTGTTAATAAACATATGTGTAGTAGTAGTACTCGTGTAAATGGACATTGTTTCGAAAGGGAAAAAACAAACAAACACGTTCATCCATCGATCGAGAGCGTGTAACTGTGGCTCGAGAAGACTGCATTCCGCACGAATGGCTGGCTTATTATGTGTTCTTTTGTTTTTTGGTAGCAGGCGATGACCATAAGCCAAAGACTTGTGTAAAAATGTCTATAGGGATGAAGCACATTGTTTGTATTTATTGTTTACTTGCATTTTTGAAAGCTCAAAACAATCATCATCATTCTCCATTTAGCCGAAATTTTCACTGCAAGCGCTCTTTTATGTACGAGACAGATTTAAGTAGTGTTATTTTATTTTGTTGTTGTTGTATTTGAAAATTGTATTTCTTTTGAAATCTTTTACATGCTATCGTGGTTTGTTTTACACAACTGATTGTGAATTATTCCTTTGCCGAGGAGAAAAGAGAAGAGCTCTATTTTTTCTGATGTTTTCACATTTGTATTGTGCTGGAAATGGGAAAAAAAAAAAAAAGCACAAACAATGAAGTGTATGAATTAAAAATATATACAGTATTAGACTCTAGTGTATTTAGGATCAAAGCCAATTTAAGAAGAAAGTGCAGCCTGTATCGATGCTGATCAGACGTTTTATAGAAAACAAAACAACAACAAAAATCCATCATGTGAAATAATAACTTATGTATTTTTTGTCTGTAGTTGTTGGCTTTCGCTGTATTACGATGTCAAATAATAAAAATACTTTGAATAAAAAAAAAGATATGTTAAAGAATGTGTTTGGAACGAATCGTTTTAAACTGTGGGTTTGTTGGAAATGTTGCGGTGGTTTCCCAGCTTGCTGTAACAATGAGTCGGTGATGTTGTGTGTTTCAGTGATTTGGATCCCTGTTGTTTTGACTTACATTGGGCCCTGATGTCATGAAGTCAGGCAGAGGATGTGGGATTTGTGTATATCATAGTATTTTTGCAGCTTTGCTTAACAATGCGTTGAGTTTTGGTCTTCGAGCTGCACTCAGCTTCCTGTCCTCCTCCGCTGCGCAGGATGCCTCGCAGTCTCGCTCTCGGTCTGCACTGCTGAGCTCAAGGGGCGTCTGGAGGGCCAAAGGGCATCCTGGGAGTTCCTCTGCCTCCATTAACCCTCTTACGGGACGCGAGGTACAGAGCCACGTCTCTCAGCCCGTCCAGAGCTTTAAAAACGTCTCCTCGTAAAAGCCGCAGTAGAAGATGGCTACGACGCTGCATGAATTCACGCAGGTTCTGGATCCTAAGATGTTCCCCAGAGTGCTTCAGATCCAATCAGGAATATATTGTCAAGGTAAGAGTAAAACTGGAGAGTTACCAGCTCAGAATTCATCTGCTCCTCACAGTCAAATAATAGCTGCAATTACGCATTTCCAACATTTTAAAACCTAGTGTGCACTTATTGGTGTAGGTGAGAAACAACATGTTGGTGAAAAATTAATACTGATAATTCATAAGCGTGCTGTTTGTTTTTTAAACACTTTTTTTTTTTAAATAAAGCGCGAAATAGGCAGCATAATCCTGTTCCTCGATTTGTGTTGAAGCTTGAAGACAGGCACGTTTTTACATATGAACCAATAGCAGCTTTCACAAAAGTATCCTTTTTCAACATTTAAGAGGTAACTCCAACTAGCAAGAAAAGTTTGAAGAAACAAAGTTAAATTCATTTTCAAACCACATGATGCCGAGCGGAAACCCACTTCTTTCTGATCTTTTTCTAGTTCCTTTTAGTCAGTAATATGTCTTTTGTGATGTCATTTATCTGTACTCCAGTGCTTGTGATGAAATAGTTTTCCTGCAACCGATACGAAATGGTTTGCAATGTATTTTAACATGCTTTAAACACTTTTTTTTTTCTTTTTCAGGCTGCGTGTATGAGGTGTTTGGAAGAGAGTGCTCTCTTTCAACAGGAGATTTGCTGAAAATCATTGATATCACCATCACCAGATTCAGTGCTCGGACCCCCAGCAACACTGAGATTGAGATTCCTGTGGAATACCCAGGTACCAGAGTTTCAGTGGACAGTAGATGTTTCAAACCTAAGACTATATATATATATATATATAAACTAACTATTTGTGTCTTTGATTAGCAAGTGATCTGGTTATTGTTGGTTGAAATGCATCGGTTTAAATCAACGGAAAATAGCTAAGCATGGTCAGTCTGTTTGAGAAGCACCTTCCACTGATCATTTGCTATAGAAATCTAACTGTGTCATCAGTTGAACATTTATTCATGCATTTGTTTTGTTAGTGAATTTAAATCTATTAACCTTGTTTTGGTAATGATAAACAAAAGATTAAAAGATTAAACACAAAAGATTTTTAAAAAATGCGTAAAAAAGCTCACATACATTAAATAATTACACATACATAAAACAGGCTAACAACAACAAAAACATATTTTGAAGTGTGCGCGTGCGTCTATGTTACCTTCACAGTCGGCTTTACAGTTTGTTCAGTCCTTGTGTGTCCAAAAGAAGTCGTGTTGCAGATCATCTGCTCATCCATGATAATTTTGCATGTTTTTTTTTTTTTTTACATGTTTGTGAATGTTTTGAATAAATGTTATATAATAACATAATTATAAGATAATCTGTTGCTTCTGATCATGCCAGTTCTGTCACATGAAATTCATCAAATTACAAAATAAGGTGAAATTTGACACATTTTCGAAATGTTCCTATTGTTTTGCATATGTTCATTTTTTTATTTGTACACAGTGACTTATAACTTCTGTTTGTACCTCAGAAGACTGGTTCTTATGTATGATAGTGATGTTATCAATGTAGGTTAAAGTGTCAGTGTTACAACTCACTTCATGCTAAAATCATCCCGTTTCTAAAGTCGCAAGCTGTTCTAATAGGACAGTGAAGATCGTTTCGCTAGTGAAGAACAATGACGTTTCAGAAAAGCGATTTTGTGATTTTACTAGAATAGTGGCTGTTTATTAGTACTTATAAAGCACATATTAATTGCCTTATTCTGCATTAGCATTTTTTTAGATCCCTTAATCCACCCATACCTAAACTTAACCACTACCTTACTGTTAATAAGCAGCAAATTAGGAGCTTACCGAGGAAAAAGTCTTAGTTAATCGTTAGTTAATAATGAGAATTAATCCCTAAACTAATATGTGAGCCAAAATATCATTGTCTTGAACCTGATGTGAACAGCAACTAATATGCAAAGAGAGAATTTGAGCAAACTCACTGCTGCGTTACCAGTTATGTGCAGACCTTTGATGCTTCTGTCTTTATGACGTTCAGCTGCTCATCATAACCATAAGGCTGTCCTAGATAGGGTTTTCCATGACAATCTTAGCCGAATGTTGAAGGGATATTGCTGGGATGGCTTAAGGATGAAAAGCTCCATCTTCACGTGGATAAGTCAGATATAGTGGACAGTGGCCAGAGTTGTTTTTCTTTTCCATTGGTCATGTCTTACAAGACTTTGACTGATGCATCATCCAAAACAATAGTGGTATAATGCCCTGTTAATGACTCACTAAAAAACTTTTGTGCTTGTATTTTTTTTATTACCCACATTCTCTCTGCTGTCACCACTTTTGGTCCTTGTAGTGACTTAACATTGGCTCTGTGCTCTATGTGACAGGATTGTTCAAGCTAGTGGCTGACAGTCAGCCGTACCAAAGCATACAAGAGATAGCTGACTCAGTGAAGATCAGCTCCCACAGACTGTCCCAGCCGGTATTCCTCAGCGGTTCGGAGATTGAGCCGGCGCAGGGCGTCATACGGGAGGGAGACAGCTTCAGAATCACTGCCGTCACCCGTGAGCTCAGCGGTGGACGTGTGCGGTGTGAGCTGCTGCACAGAGAGCCCAAGATCTGCTTCAGCCTGAGCTTCTCCCAGCAAGGCCACTTCACAGAGTGCCAGGACGACCAGTTCTACACCCTGAGAGAGATAGCGGAGTGGAAAATCTCCAAAGGCAGAAAGAGGACTGTAACCGAGGTCAAAACTCTGCCCAAAAAGGACTTCTTATTCTCAAATTTGCTGGAGAATGTACTTGGAGAGCTGAAGCTGACTCCTGTGTATGAACTGAAGGCTGTTACACGACGTGAGTATGACACTAGTTTCATTCCTGTTCTAGTAGTGTACACAAATATTGTTAATAACAGTGTTATATCCCAACATGCGGCAGCAAATCATTTTCTTAATCTATCATTTTTGTCTTGTTTTCCTGTAAAAATATCTGAACATCCTTAAAAAGAACCAATGATATATTAAGAGAAATTCAACAAAATTGAATAAAGAAGAAATTAAGGCCATACTTTATTTTAAGGTCCAATTTTCGATATTAACAAACCATTAACTATTACTTTTGCCTCAGTAAACACCTAATTTGCTGCTTATTAATAGTAAAAGTTTAGGTATTGGGTAGGATTAGGGACGTAGAATATGGTCATGCAGAATATGTGCTTTGTAAGTACTAAGAAACAGCCAATATGTTAATAGTAGTCATGCTAATAAACAACTAATTAATAGTGAGAATTGTTCCCTACACTAAAGTGTTACCGAAATTAAAATCAAGAAATTATTTGTCAATAGTATGAGAAAAAATACATTTGTTTACCCCTTTGAATGGTTTATTTATTTATTTTTTCTGAAACCTCTGGCATATATATTTTTCACTATAAATCTTAGTTAGATTTCTGAGAAAGCAGGAGATAATATAATTCTTTTTATTTTTTAAATTTATCTTTACATTACATTTAGCGATTACATTTAGAGATTTTGGTGACACTTTACAAGAAGGTTCTATTTGTTAACATTAGTCAACTAAATTAGTCACTGATAACTAAAACTAACTAAACTAAGACTGATAAATACCTCTAAAGCATTTATTAATTTTAGTTCATGTTAATTTCAACATTTACTAATACGTTATTAAAATCAAAAGATCTATCTGGACCTGAGATACCATAAGCTAACAATGAACAGCATCAACAAAGATTAGTAAATTATTTAACAAATAAATTGCTCATTGTGAGTTAATGTTAATTCATGCATTAACTATTGTTAATAGAATACCAGATTTAAAAAAAAAAGACAGTTTTAGGACTAGTCGATGTTTTTGCTGTGTGATCCGGTCATTGAAGATTAATAAAAAATAAAAAAAATAGCTGGGAAAATCGTTTTATTCATGAACGAGTAGAGAGAGTACTTTGTAAAAAATTTTATAAATCCATTTGTACATAGACCATCACATTCAATTCAATGGGACAATTACAAATGAAAGTGTTAGTTAGAAAAGCGGTAGTTGGCTTACAGAAAAATCTGTTCTGCTCACGTCTCATAGATAAAGCCCATTGATAAAGGTTTTTCCTCTTTTAAACTTGGACCCTTTCTTCCCACAGTCAGTGAGAAAATTCTGCTCATCCCATCAAATTTGGACGTGGAGGTGGTGGACGTCACTGAGCAGTTTGATTGTGACTCCTTTGTGCAGCCTCTCTCTCTTACGGACGTTTTCAAGAGTCCTACAGAGTTTTTTCCTGTGGTGGCCAAGTTGTCATGTGAAAGACCTTTCAATCTTTCTCCAGAGCTGGAAACACTTTTCAAAACCAATCAGGTGATCATTCATCATGCTTTCTATGCAAAACGAATACTGGCCTCGGAAATGGGTCGTGAATCAACGAGACACTTTCTTATTCCGGAGTCCTACAACGGACGCCTCAAGCGGCGGCCGCGCCAGTTCCCCACCGCCTACGATCTGGAGCGAGCGCGCAGTGAAACCGAGCAGATACGCGTGGTGGCCACCAGGGAGTTTGAGTCTGTTTACAACGGGCTAGCTTCCGTAAGCGCTGGAGATGAGTTTATAGTGACCAAAGGCAAAAGCTGTGCGCTTTCACACAATGGAACCAAGAGGGCAGCCGATGCTTTTCAATGTCTGAAAGTCACAGGGACAGAGGCGAAGGAGCTTGTGTGCCTCCCCATGTGTTTGGAGGGGGGATTCATGGAGCTGGTTAAAGACAAGCGTCAATACACCATTGCGGAAATATGCCGATGGTTCCCGCTGCCCTTCAATGTCAAAGTGTCTGTGCGAGACCTCTCTTTGAAGCTGGACGTTTTGGCTGGCGTGCCCGGTCTGCACATTGAGGAGGAGATCTCTGACCCTTGCCTCCTCATTTCAAACTCTGAGCTGTCAGAGATCAGGGAGGTGCCAGTCAATCGCACAGACTTGATCCTCAACATAAAGCAGCACTGGGATGGCCAGAGTCCAGTATGTAGTGGGAAATCAGTCATAGAGGAGATCTCAGAGGACTGTTACTACACACTCAGGAGGTACGCCGTTTCTACCATCACACCCCCTCCACGACCTCCCAAAAAACCCAAAGACCCTCCACCTCGACCTCCCAAGATTCTGTCGTCCAGATCTGAGAGCGCAAACAGTGAAAGCTCCAGCTGCTCTCCACAGGTAAACTGTATTTGGTAACACTTTATTTTAGGGCTGGGCAAAAAATCGAACTGCCAAGCTACACAAAATCGCAGGCGATTCATTGTGGATTTTGAACACGATTTTGTGTAGCTTGTCAGTGAACTACGGCTCTGTGTATTAAATGCCGCTCCATCTGAAAGCACGTGCTGGAGATTTACTACTAATCACCAGAAGCGGCTTTACTGACGAGATGCACATGAAAATCGCATTTGATTTCTTGCACAGCCCTTCTTTATTTTAAGGTGTCCTTATTACACGTTAAATGGACCTACTATTATAATAACATTTAAATTATGCATAATTACATGCAAGTTACCTGAAGCCAAGCCCTAATCCTAACCCTAAACATATAATAAGTACATGTTGTTAATGAATATTTCTCAGTAGTTAGTGAGTTCCCTATCTGTCGGTTACTATGAGTTATGTCCGGCAACATAGGGGGTTCACTTGGGAGCCCCAATCCTCTCGGACTTGTGCCTCCCCATGTGTTTGGAGGGGGGATTCATGGAGCTGGTTAAAGACAAGCGTCAATACACCATTGCGGAAATATGCCGATGGTTCCCGCTGCCCTTCAATGTCAAAGTGTCTGTGCGAGACCTCTCTTTGAAGCTGGACGTTTTGGCTGGCGTGCCCGGTCTGCACATTGAGGAGGAGATCTCTGACCCTTGCCTCCTCATTTCAAACTCTGAGCTGTCAGAGATCAGGGAGGTGCCAGTCAATCGCACAGACTTGATCCTCAACATAAAGCAGCACTGGGATGGCCAGAGTCCAGTATGTAGTGGGAAATCAGTCATAGAGGAGATCTCAGAGGACTGTTACTACACACTCAGGAGGTACGCCGTTTCTACCATCACACCCCCTCCACGACCTCCCAAAAAACCCAAAGACCCTCCACCTCGACCTCCCAAGATTCTGTCGTCCAGATCTGAGAGCGCAAACAGTGAAAGCTCCAGCTGCTCTCCACAGGTAAACTGTATTTGGTAACACTTTATTTTAGGGCTGGGCAAAAAATCGAACTGCCAAGCTACACAAAATCGCAGGCGATTCATTGTGGATTTTGAACACGATTTTGTGTAGCTTGTCAGTGAACTACGGCTCTGTGTATTAAATGCCGCTCCATCTGAAAGCACGTGCTGGAGATTTACTACTAATCACCAGAAGCGGCTTTACTGACGAGATGCACATGAAAATCGCATTTGATTTCTTGCACAGCCCTTCTTTATTTTAAGGTGTCCTTATTACACGTTAAATGGACCTACTATTATAATAACATTTAAATTATGCATAATTACATGCAAGTTACCTGAAGCCAAGCCCTAATCCTAACCCTAAACATATAATAAGTACATGTTGTTAATGAATATTTCTCAGTAGTTAGTGAGTTCCCTATCTGTCGGTTACTATGAGTTATGTCCGGCAACATAGGGGGTTCACTTGGGAGCCCCAATCCTCTCGGACTTTAAGAGAAAACGCCAATGAAATTTGGCTAGTGGATTTTGCATATCTGAGCCACTCCCCGTGCATACGGGTATAAATAGGCAACAGGTGCATCCACTCTTCAGATTTTTGCTTCGAAGCCAAGTGGATGATAGTGCTTGATCTCCACAAAGCCCTTTACTCATCTGACTGGAAGAAGCTGTTCCTGGTTGGCGTTACAGTGCAAACAGCGGTGTCCCTGTCATCAGCGATTCCCCTGGGCACTTCAACTGAAAGAGCAGTTTCTCTAAAAGAGAAAATCAAGGTTGGTTCGCGTCTTTTTAAAGATGCCGTTCTGCCCTTGTTCTCTTGGTTGAGTTCGTTACCTGTCCTCTGTTGATGGACATGATCGTTGTGTTCAGTGTCTGGGCATCCAACACGCTGAAGCTGCATTCGTGGATGACTCGTGCATTCATTGCGAGCGTATGAGCATGGTTTTGCTGCAATCTCACCTCTCTCTCGTCCTTACGGCAGTTCCGACCACTGCAACAGGACAAGCACGTGTTGATCCGCACAGACAACACTGCGGCTGTGTCGTACATCAACCGGCAGGGAGGTCTACGTTCACGTCGCATGTCACAGCTCGCCCGTCATCTCCTCCTCTGGAGTCAGACGCGGCTCAAATCGCTGTGCACTGTCCACATTCTGGGGGAGCTCAATCGTGCAGCCGACGCGTTCTCATGACAGCTCATGTCCCCGGGGAATGGCAACTCCATCCCGAGACAGTGCGTCTGATCTGGAGTCGATTTGGGGAAGCCCAGGTAGACCTGTTTGCTTCCCACGAGTCCTCCCACTGCCAGCTGTATTACTCCCTGACCGATCACTCAGGCTAGAGCTCCCTCGACGAGGCAAGCCTATGCTCTGAAGTGGAGTCTGTTAGTGAACTGGTGTTCTTCTCGCTGAGAAGACCCCCAAAGATGCACGATTGGAGTAGTGCTTTCTTTCCTGCAAGAAAGGTTGGAGCGTAGGCTGTCACCCTCCATCTTGAAAGTGTATGTGGCTGCTATCCCAGCACATCACGATGCAGTGGACGGCCGGTCCCTGGGAAAGCACGATCTCATCATCACGTTCCTGAGGGGTGCCAGAAGGTTAAATGCTGGTTAAATCTCTGCTGGCAGCCATTCCTCCCTACTCCTAGGTGCCTCAGAGACCCATTCCATTTAGTACTGTCCCAGGCCTGGGTCAGTTCATGTCATTGTCTCCACATGATACCTCCCAACGGGCAGGATGTGGTCTCCATAGCGCCCTTCTCCGGAAGGCTTGCGTCCCCTTCGTTACTGCTTAGCTGTAAACAACAAAACAGGAAAGGCGTGAAGCACCTTTCATGATGATCGAAATCCCTTCTCTTACACCGTGTCTACACCGGACGCGAGCGGTGCGACGCGACAAAATACAATAGAACCTATTATGCTGTCTACAATAGATGCGGCGCAGCATGACAAATTCCCGACAGTAAACTGCTGCTGCGTTGTATTTATGATGTACTGACACAAATTTCAAATGATTTTCAATGGTCGCTTTGTAGACCGTCCAGTGTAGACAGACTTTAGCTGTTGCAGCGCAGACACGACACGACAACTGTCACGTCCGGTGTAGACACGGTGTTAAGAAAAGATTTTCTGTCATAGGAACAGCGGCTTGGCTATCTCCAGCTTTTGGTCCCTGCGGGTGCCAAGGTCAGCGAATTTACGCTGGGGCGTTGGGAAGATTACGACCTTTGCGTAGCATTTGTCTGACACGTGGCTGCTTGTCAACATTTGCAGAACTACAGGGTTGTGATGGGGTTCAGGTTGTGGCACTTTCCATGGATCCCCCATGTCATCACGACATAACTTGTAGTGACCAACAGATAGGGAACGTCTCAGTTTACGTTATGTCCCCATGCCACAACCTCGAACCATCGCTGGTTGCCAGGGACAAGTTTTCAGAGTGGATGCACCTGTCGCCTATTTATGCCTGTATGCACGGGGAGTGGCTCAGGTATGCAAAATCCACTAGCCAAATTTCATTGGCGTTTTCTCTTAAAGTCCGAGAGGATTGGGGCTCCCAAGTGAACCCCCTATGTTGTCACGACATAATGAGGGTTACGTACGTAACAAAGACTTTTTTTGGAAGTTATTTATAGTTGATTTGCTTGTTAGCCAGTAGAATAGCTTTGGATGTTTATTTCACTGTCGTTATTCCTGTATAATTCATTGTTTTTTTGGACCGCACCATTGGACAGCACACCCACAAACCATTCACAGACCATCTGATGCATACTGCATAGAAAATGACTAGAGCTCAACATTTACTAATACATTTGGGTGGCGTGTATTTCTTAGCCAGAGTAAGCTGCAGAGTGGACCTGACTTCACGGAAATAATCAAACGTGAGGCTACATGAGACTCACGCTGCTTACTGTAAATCATTTAAGGCGTATTAAAGAGCTTGTGTGCACTGTAGGTTTGGTGAGAGAGAAGAGATAGGAGAGTTTCATGCTAAGCCAAGTACAGTAGTTCCATCCACAAAACACTTGTAAGTAAAAAATACTGAAGCTTTAAGATAAAGCAAAGAAAATACATGTAAAATTTGCCTATTGTATGGTTTATGGTAAACTGCAAAAATGAGTTTAAAAATCCTTTACTTGAATTTTTTGAAAATGGAAAAATTTACTTGATAAGCAAAACTGCATATAAAAGTTATATTTGTTTTCAAATTTTGTATGTAATATATAATATAATATAATAAATGTAATATAATATAAAATAATAATATATTTTGTCTTTTAACACTGGCAGATAGAAAAATCTGCCCATGCAGTAAGACAATACATGGATATTGAAAGGTGGATAATATTTTATAAAATCAAAAAAAATTCAATTCCTTATTATTATTGTTATTATTATTATTACATTAGTTGCCTAAGACACCCACATTGCTGAGATAAACCTACATTAAATAGTAATCAATTATACTAATAACGTCATGTGATATGGTTCTCAGCTTCGTGTGACTTCCTCAAAAAGCAAAACTGAAAATGCGTAATAAATACTTACACTATTGTGTTTTAGATTTCGACAGACAGAGATGGAGATATTTTTTTGCAATTTTATTTCACACAGAGATGCACA